ATGGTTGAATTTGCCAGTTGTGGCTGCCAGTAGTTTTTACTGTGTCAGGTGGTAATTAGAGTGTCAGTCGATTCTTGTGGAGCGTGGCGTTCGTCGATGGACGTCATGACTCGTAGATATGGTTTATGGCCAAGTACTGGGAATGAGCCGATCCAGCAAGAGCGGTACCTTCTAGATATATAGATATCAAAAATTTGAGAGCGTAAGTAGAGGAGTTGACCCAGTGCTTGGCGCAAAATTCGGTCCTGACACACTATGATGATGGTAGTGAGTCGAAAGCTGCTTTCAAGAACTCGTTCCATGCGCATGCTTTGCGTCGGGAACTTCATGTTTTAGTTAAGTTTGATGAAGAACTAGTAGGTTTGGATCTGCAGTTGGAATTATGATACCAAAGTGATATTTTCTTGGATGAAGGCCTTATGTTTGATGAAGAGCAAGGTGAAAGGAGAGGAGTTGCCCTTGAGGCAGCAAGGATATCTAATTTTCTCATCATTGAAGAGATGGAGAATCAAGATGTTGACTTGAACCTAGAGGCGATCGAGCATATGGACATACTTAACTAAAAAAAAGATGGACTCAAAGGTAAATCGATAAGTGAAATTTGTTCGATCATTGAATATTAGTATTCATCTCAAAGAAGCATATGTGGTGTGTCCTAAGATTAAATTTGTGCAATTTCAACAAGTTTATGTGGCTGAAAAATCGACATACAACGATCTTTTTCTCGAGGGCTTATCTTTTTAAATGTACCATCGTTATGTTTTAATTAATGCAATAACCCACATGTCTCAAGATCATGTTTACGATATTCGGGTTGAAGGATGTGAGACTAATGCAAATTTCATCATAGCGGATTTTAAAACTTGAGGTCGAGTTTTCTCCAACCAGGGGATAATGATGCAGATCAAGATCAGGTTAGAAAATTTTAATTTTGTTTTTTGTAATTTTATTTTTAGAGATGTGAGAAGACTCTTTTTTTTTGTTTTTATTGAGGTTAATTTTAGGAATTTTATTTAAGGTTGCAATTTTGTTTTTTTTTGGGAAGCTTGTCTTTTGTTTTTTTTAATGTAGCTTTTATTGTTTTTAGAAAACTAGAAAATTTGTAGTTATATTTAGTTCAATAGTATTTATTTAGCAAATCTTTAATCTTTTTAGTATGTCTTTTTTAGATAAGAGGCTTTTGATATTTTTAGGAAAAATAAGGCCGTTTTATATTTTTGTTGAGTTAGGTTATTTTTGGAAGGGCTTCTCTTGGAATAGCGAGTCTGTTAGTTCAAGGTTACTTTGTACAAAGATAAGTGGTGTAAATGCTTATCTTTAATAGGGTTTAAAGGGTTGTCTTTAGAACATAACTTTAAGAGATCTTGGATGCTATTGATAAAGGGGGACATGTATCCTCTAGAGACAGGGGGTATGCTTATTTTTCATAATTAAGTCTTTATCTTTTGCAAGTTAGGTAGAGTCGGACATTTTAAAAAGGGGACGTTTGATATTGTAGAATAAAACTTTTTATGGACTGAAGAAACTTTCTATAGAAAGAGAGAGGCCCATGTTATGGGTGTTTTTTCTTCTCTGGTGCTTGTGGGGTTGGATGCGCACGTTCATTCCTTCTTATCGCTGATTTATTTTTCGGTTTTTTTCTCTCTATAATGCAGCTGAATTTGTAATATATGGTGGCCAGTAATTTTCTACTGCGTAAGGAACAAAATTGCAACCTTAAATCCTAAAATAAATAATATCCCTAAACCGCAATAAAAAAATAAAAAGTCTACCCACAACTCTAAAAATAAAATTACAAAAATCAAAATTAAAATTTTGTAGCAACGAGATTTTGATATGTGTCATCTACCCACTCAACTTTTTTACGAAATTAACGTAAATGTAGAGCTTATTTAAGTTGGACATATTGATTTATTATAAAAGTCTATTGAGCTTTTATATGATTCATATTTTGTTTTTAATTAATTTTATAGGAATGAAATGTGTCATTTTTGTGTTGGCACTATGTTGTGCTGTCCGTTTAACTTATGTCAAATTTATTTCAAAGAATTCAGCATGAATGTAGAATTTATTCAAAAATAGATATACTGTTTCATTATAGATTTTAAAGGGGTATGTGCATTACACCCTAACGTAGGGGCCTTATGCTTTAATTGCGTAGAAGATTAGAAGTTTTTAATTGTGGTCTTGGTTTTGTTTTTTAAGTCATTTTGATTTATTAATCAACTTTTTAAGAGTTTGTTCTAATTATAACTTCTAAAAGCAAATTTTAAAGAAATATACATTCTATTGTTTTAAAGAAATTTTGTTTTAAGTAATTTGGCTGCTCATCCAAAGATTGTTGGTGAGTTTTTTAGTAATCTTGAGTGAACTTCTGCTTAGAACAATGCAATGCATCGCTTTTGTGGCGGCACTATGTTGTGTTACATACTCTACTTATGTAAAATTGATTTTAAAGAAGTTAAAATAAATGTAAAATTGATTTTAAAGAAGTTAAAATAAATGTAAAATTGATTTGAAGTTTTTGATAATGTAGAATTTATTTAAAGTTTTTGAGAATGAGAATTTATTGGAAGTTGATATATTTTTTTACTACAGAGTTTCATTGAGCATGTGTTTGAATTGCCTAGAAGTTAAATAATGGAAGTTCTTTATTGTGGTTATGCTGGATTAAATTGTAGGTTTGACTTCAATTAATTTTACATTAGTGCAATGTATCATTTATGTGGAAGCACTATGTTGTGCTACCCCCCTCGACCTGTGCCAATTTATTTTAAAAAAGTTAACATGAATGTAGAAATCTGCTTTAAAAAATCATGATTTTAATCTTCTAATTTAAGAAATATTTTTTCCCTACTTAATAGCATTTCATAGTTCTCAAATTTAAGGATCTATCAATCGATAGGTATCTTAAAGAAAGAAGTTGAAATTTTAGTTTTATAAAGTTATGCAGAGGATTTTTAGTTGAGGGATCATGTACACGAGGAGATACATAACCTACTGACATTTGTAATGACGTTATTATTATTTTTTTGAGAAAAGTTAACTGTATTCCATTAAAAGAGTTTATACAAAAGTATTAAAATCGAGGTCCCTTTTCAGTGGGACTCCTCATAAAAAGGTTGTCCGTCAACCCTATGCAAAATTGGTTAAAAGGACAGCCCTTGATGCTACAAGATATACAATGATATTACAAAAGAATAGGCTTATAAAATTGCCCCTTTGTACAAAAACCTCTATGATATACGTCAAAGTTAGGTGGCCGAGAATTGCTGTTCCTTTATCCCTCTGTGATTTGGATCAAAGGTGACCCATAAAATCTTCAGTGTGAGCTCTGGCCCCGTCCTTTGCTAGAAGATCAGCCAAGTCGTTTGACGTCCTCAATTTATGCGTCCAAGAGACATCCATATCCCTGCAAATATCAGCAATCTCATAAAAAATGGGAGCAAGATACCAAGGAGGGTAGGAACCCCCCTGATGCCCAGGAAATGATGTTACTAGTGTACCCTTATACATGGGCTTACATATGGGCTTATGATATTATTATTATTTAAGTTATATATCTTATAAAGTCTTCTACATATATATTGTAAACTTAGGTGATATATACACCTATTTATTTGATCACCAAAGTGCCAAGTCAATAAAAGAAAAGTGAGTGATCTTATGTATACAATTACAAAGTTTATTTTATATTTATCATTTGAAATTTGGTTATTAATTAAATTTGAAATCATTTTCATAAGAAATTTTTAGTTTTTAAAAGAAATATTTAAAATTTATATAAAAGTATAATTTACTTAGTATAGATTAAAATTTATTATAAAACCCATGTTTATTTTAGAGAAGTTCACTTAAGAAAGTTAGTAGTTGGTAAAATATGTTTTCAAAATTATAATAACTTCTTGTATTTTGAAATAAATATTGGCAATTAAAAAGAAGCAACCAGCTGTGTGCTAGCAACCCTAATTCATCATATTGCATAATTATACATTTAAATTCACTTTGTTTATTAATGAAGATTTTAAGTTTTGATATTCCAAAATTGCTCATAAAGTGAAATTATTTTATATTTTAAATATTTAAAATTTAACCTATATTACGGAAATAATATGCAAAGTAAAGTTACAACATGTTTGTTTTATATAAAAATGAATTTTATTGTAGTGAATTTTCATTGAAGAAATTATAAATCAGTGGAATACTTTGTTTCAAATAATTAAACATTTTATTGGCTTTCCTTGTAAATAAGGATAATTAAGAAATTTTACCTTTTGTATATATTTGTAACTTTTTAAACAAATATTAGGAAACATTATAAATGTAAACTTACTAAATTGGATATGATTTTTTATTTTATAAGACGAACTATTTTTTATTAGATACTCAAGGACTCAATTGTCTTTTTCTTTAATGCTGGCCATTTTGTCAAAATTTAAAGTAATTATTGTTTCTTTTGCCATGTCACATGGCAATAAATGCTATACTCTTTTGGTTTTGGGAAATTTATATAACATGCTATTGTGGAAGCGTACTATACAACTACTTGATCAAAATCGTTAAATATTTTTGAAAAATGAAATTTTGTTATTATCTGAAAATTCTATATCTTTTTTTTCAATCGAAACATAATATACCTGAGGGAACACAAATAGTTGTATGTGGACTTTGATTATGTAATAGATACCATCATGTGAAATTTATGTAAGTAGTGTCCCTTACACAAGTGAGGATTGGAAGTGTGAGGCTCCACAATGACTCTGAAACTTAAGAGATTTAGATCACTGACCAGATGCTGAAATGGCTTCAGTGATTGTTTGTCCGATGGAATATCTGATATGTCATGTTTACTCTATTTATGTACGCTCTCAATGTCTTATTTTTTTTATTATTGTTTTGAATCCTTTGATATTGCGCTCCATATCTTGTTTGCCTTCTGGAGCCTGGAGGTTGTTTTTGGTCAAAACCATTATCTAGAATGTATGTTGTGTTTCTTGCAGGGATGTTCCTGAGAACACTGAAGAACCTAAGGATGGGGAGCCTCAGCAGATGAAGCCTGAGGAAGACGTTACAAAAGAAGCTGTTGCCAGGAATGTGGCAAAAGAAGAGGATAAAGTAAGCGAGATTTGTAGATTTTATAAAATGAGAGACTTGTTTTTTGGTGTATTAAATCTACTTAACTGATAGTAGAGGAGTTCTTTATAATTGATTCTTGCTTGTTTGATTTTGATGTGTTAAATCCACAAACTTTTATTGGAAAAGTTCTTTATAATTGACCTTACTTGTTTGATAATGCTTGTAGGAGATGACCCTTGAAGAGTATGAGAAGCTACGCACTGAAAAGAGGAAAGCCCTAGAAGCTCTGAAAAATGAAGAGAGAAAAGTTACTATCGATAAGGATTTCGAGCAGATGCAACTTGTGGAAAAAAAAAAGGACGAGAGCATCAACAAGACGGTTGGTAAACAGTTTCATGATTCGAACTCCCCCACTCCTTCTATCTCTCCCACTCTGTCACCAGCGCTGCTGTCTAGTTGACCTTTAACTCCCTTCTATTCTCTGATTATTTTCAGAAATCTGAAAAGGACAAGCTCAAGAAGAAGGATAGCTTTGACAAGGAAGACAAAGTTCGTAAGGTAGAGTTGATTACTTGTTAGCTGTTTTAATTTTTTTCAGATGCAAGTTAAGCACCTTACACTGAGAAGAATAAGTTTTAATTATGATTTGGGAATTCATTGCAATTATATTGCTTTTCAGTTTTCACAATGACCAGCACTACCTGTACGCTTATATTAATTGCAAGGAGGCTCACCATCTATTAGAGTCCAACAGAAATCAATTTCAAAACGAAAAATTGAACTTAATATTAACCAGAATATTACTGTAGTGAATTAAACCAAAACCCAATTGCAACTTTAAATTGCTTGCTAATGTCAGAATCGAGATATGTTGAGGGAAGTCTTGGCAATGTCGTTAACCTGGTTATGGAGAACTCTTTTCTTTTGGTTGCTGTTGGTGGAAAATGCTTACATCCATCTCAATTGTGAATTCCTATAATACCGATTAGGAAGAGCGACCAGCATAATAGGTGAATGGAGGATGTCTTGGTTTGTTTTCTCTATTTTCGTAAACAATGTGTCAGTAGGTTTCTTCAATAGTTCGGAGGGCCTGATGCAAGGTGATCCATGTACACTTTTTGTTTGACATTGTTTCTGGTATTCTCGAGTCATTTAATTGGTTAGTTGGTTTGATGGGAACTATGTGGGCTATGGTGATCTCTTAGTGGATTCTGTGATCTGAACTTGGGTCAGGTTTCACAATTTAGGATGATCTTGAGTAGTGTTTCAAAAAGCGCTAGGTAGGTCTTGGACGGCTTGGGGGTTCAGGCCGCCAAGCGCCTAGGCGGTCACCCAGAACCTGGGTGGCCCAGTTGAATCCAAAAAGGATTCTACAATTTAAACGGTTTTATATATTGTATAAAAAATAAAAATTAGGTATTTGGAGCACATCATAATTCAAATTATACTACACATTAGCATTTATCGCACAGTCCATAAGCATAACCATAAGTTGCTAACTCCATATCCAATTAAAATTTAAAATTTACCAACTAACCAAATTACCTAACCAAACTATTAAACTAGTGGAACTACAAATCCACTATCCACAATACGCCAGTATAAAACATCAAAAATTAAATCTCATATCAATGGGTGATGTTTCAATCAATTTTTTTTAATTTTGAGAAACCTTTCGATACTAAAGAATTCATCAAAAACTAGTTTTTTTGGGGTCTTTCTCTCTCTAAAATGGGCTCCAATAAGTTTTAGGTTTCAAATAAACCTAAACCCCCTAGTTTTGGGTCCAGTTTGGCCACCTAGACTTGGGTGATGCGCCCAGGCCTTCTGGCGCCTAGGCGTTGGGCGGTCCGCTTTTTGAATCACTGATCTTGAGAATTTAGATTGATCTTGAGGTGATGCTGTGTAAGTGGGCTAATAATTAATTTTTCAAGTGTGTTGCTCTTGGCATTGGCTGTGGAGACTTTAGAGTCACTGTGCTTGCAAGTAGGATTAATTGAGCTTTGGACTCCATTGTGCATTGGCAAACCTAGTAAGTCTTTGGAGCCTGGTGGTCGAGAAGTTTCATGTGGGTTAGCATTGTTAAAAAAATTATTTTAGACTCCGATGTGGCTGGGGACTCAGCCTGGTGGCTGTATCCGGAGCTAATTCATATTGAGTCCCTAGTTGAGTATCAGTAAGACCTAGTCAAGTGATAGAGGTAGAGCTGACTTGACTCATGTGAGTTCCGAATTGCCTCAGCAAGTTATAAGCACTGTGCAAGGCCAATGCCTCTACCAGTTGGGAGGACCACTCACCAGTCCTACTCTTTTTAATGTTTTCGTGTATTATATGTTCCTCTTCATATTCCGATAAGTTCACCTATGAAATTGATAGATGGACCCATGTGGAGAGATGGTGCTGTAATTATGGATTCGACTTGGTCATATGGGAAGATTTTGGCAAGCTCAAGGAGTACGGTTGTTTGGGCATGAGGTGATTAGGGTTGATGAAAATGGTCTTGCACAGAGAAGAGCCCATACCCCTTTGATTAGAGTCTTATGGGGGTGAAGAGATGAATACATGGGGTATCAAGTGCCACAAAGGCACCATGGGACACTGAGACCTAGAGAGAGATTTGCTTTTGTAGGAGTAGATTTGAAGAGACAGATTCTGTTGTGGAGAGGAGATGGCAGTAGAGTTAGTATCTGAACAGATGTTCGATGTGGGAAGAGGTTATATATTGTTGACCTCCTTATTTGACATTGTTTGCATATGTCCAAAATATAGGAATTCTTTATAAAATTGTTTCTAAGGCATTTTATCTCATCCTAATCAGTGGCGGATCTATTAGGTCATTTATATTCGGATTGATTGCCTGTAAGAGATTATTTTCTTCTAGCTTTGCTCGCAGACCATTTTCTTGAGCATTTTATTGAAGGAACAAAATGTTTTAGGTGATTCTGTTGCTTGCTTGAGATTGAGAGAATTGCATTGGGGATGTCTTGATTATACGGTCGTCAAATGCGAGGAGCTCTTCGACTTTGAAGTGGAGGTTGACCTGGTTAATGAGTGTAAACTGGTGGCTTCTAGCCCTTGAGGCTTTTCTAAGATCAACTTTAGTAATTCTGGCCCTGGGTGTTGCAACGGACAGCGCGTTGTCTGTAGTGGGTTTCGTGTGTTTTTTGATCGCCACGGACATGCTAAGTCTGTGGAGGTCTTTAATCTCCGCTGTCCAAAAAAAAGGGATGGCACCGAGCCTATGAGCAAAAACACTGTTCTCTCGTAGGTAGGTGTTGCGTAGTGGCTTCCATAGATATACATATGTATGTATGTATGTATGTATGTATGTATGTATGTCTACTACACACACATTTCTCCTAGGAAATCAGAAAACCAAAAGTTCACCTGTAAGTAAATAGCCTTTATCTGCCCCTTGGAATCCTTTTGTTTTTGTTTGTTTTTTGGTTGTGGGTTGGGGAGAAGTGGGGAGTTTTGGTTGGGTTTGCTGTTCACTCCTTTCTAGGAGCCATCATACAGTCCATATGAATGGTGGATGCCTTATGAAGGATGTGTTTATGTAATATGTGCACGCATGGTTCCTATTTAAATGCCGAATTGGAAGTAAATAATATCTAATTGAAACCCTACAGTACCCAAACTAATAATCGTCTTTTCGATAGATAGGTAATTTATTAGTTGGATTAAATGAACACGTTCTTTCTAAAAGCCAATAGTAGTAACAAGAATTAACAGTAGAACACTTGGTTTGTGCAGTCCGTGAGTATCAACGAGTTTTTGAAGCCAGCTGATGGGGAGACATTCAACACCTTTCGAGGGCGTGGGCGAGGGCGAGGGCGTGGTCGTGGGCGTGGCCGAGGTGGAGCTGATCGTGGGGGATACGGTGGAGGCGATCGTGGGGGATACGGTGGAGGCGATCGTGGGGGATACAGTGGAGGCGATCGTGGGGGATACGGTGGAGGCTCTGCGAGGTACTCAGATGAAGTTGTTGCCCCCCGCATTGAAGACCCTGGTGAGTTCCCAGTCTTGGGTGGCCAGTGAGAGATTATTTAACTTGAACCTTACAGGTTCTCTTACTGGAGTCTCGTTTTCTATTTTTGGTGGGATTTTGAAGGGTATCTTCGCTAGGTTTTGTAATGTCTTTAAGATGTACTTGACCTGCATTAGAAGTTCCGTTTCTTATATGATTGTAGTTGCCTTTAGAGGTGGTAGCACTGAGAAGTGGTGTCAGACTCAGATTTCTTCCCTTTTTTTGTTGATATTTTGGTAGTTTTCGTTTTTGTGTCCAACAGAGTTGGTGCAAGATATATCCGTTGCTTGTTCTGTCTTTGTCATTATTTTTGGGAGTGGTTTGTAGTTTCACATATATGTTAGTGTCGTACTTTGTAGAGCTGATATATTTGATAAGCGGATGAGCTTTGAAGCTATGGCCTGTAATGTTTGTGTGTGAGATTATTTTGCTTTCTGGTAGGGATAGGGAGATGGTTATTTGTGTGTGTGTGAGAGAGAGAGGTGCTTGTTTTTATCGAGAATCTATGTTAAATATGCCTGAATCCTAAACACTATGGTTTTCGGGTGCCATGGCATTTAAATGGAGAAAATCATTCTTCTGCCTGCATCGAACCGCCTTCCCCTACTGTGGGGAGGCTTTTGTTTGCTTTCCCCTACCATGGGAGGCTTTTATTTGCTTTCCCCTGCTATAGAGGCTTTTGTTTGCTTTCCCCTAATATGGCCCATAGCCTAAAAAAGCTCATGAAAATATTTACAGCTTTGGACAACGGTTTTCAGGCCTTCTAGAGGCTTTTGTTTCGCCATCTAATCCTTAGCTCATGAAAATATTTACAGCTTTGGACAACGGTTTTCTTTGGAGAGAGAGGGCAGTCTTTTTTGGGAACTCAAATTTTAAAAATCTGGTGATAACGAAGTTTGGACTTCGCTATTTTGGGAGTGCAAGATGTAACTAATGAAGAACTAAAATTTTAATTTTATTTTCTTAAACTAATCATCTAGTGATTCTCTAGTGTACATCGGAGAAAACAATTCCTTACTAGCTCTTTTAGCCAGAGAAAGTTAATTTGCAATGTGTGCTTGGACGTAATTTTCGTAATAATTTATTTGAATGGCACAAGGAAAGTTTTCTGTATAAGCAGGTGCATGAGTCTATGTTATTTTTCAATAGGATTAATAGTTGAAATGGGTGGAGGTTTGTATAAGTTTGACGCCATAATCAATCAAAATAAGGTGCACTTCTGAGAGATATTTCAGTGCTGGAGATCCATGTGATGGTATGAAAATCTCTCTAATCATGAAATTTAAAGCTTCGAAAATAGTCGAGCCAGATTTACTGTTACTCGAAAATCTTAAAAATGGACATTTTAGATAATATGTTACAATTATGTTTTTGAAATCTACATATCTCGTGATCAAGATGATCAAATGGACGTTTATGGTTATCAGAACATACCTTTCCAGTGCGTTTGAGGTGCGCCACACCTCTATATTATAGCACCTTAAAAACTTTTCCTTGAAAGTATCTTCAACCACCATAATGTATTATTCCTTAGATTCATGAATTTGCTACTCTATAATTAAAGTTCATATGGACCAAGGATAAAAATAGATGATCCAATTTAAAGAAATTCTAAATAAATTATTTATAGGGTTAAAAATTAGTTGTTTTGGTTGAAAATATAAGTGTGAAATTAGGATAAAATGTTCATTTCCAAGATAGAATTTAGAAGGGGACACAATACAATAAATGTACTCGAGTCTGACGGATCAAAACCCTATCCTTTTAAATATGGGTGCGGTTTGTATGAGGTTGAGGCTCTAAACAATCAATGTAAGGCAAAATCTTTGTGATGGCCGTAAATTTTTATTTTCATATCTAATATAATATTTAAAGCCTAAAAAATAGTGTTGATCAAGTTGATTTATAAATATTTGAAAATATTAAAAATTGACGGCCCAGATAATGCATTCCAAGATGCAGTATTTCCCAAAATTGAAATATATATTTTTCACATCTAAACATCTCGAGGTCGAGATGATTGATTTGAGATTTTTCCGACATCGAAACAAATAATACATTGCTAAGTCCCAATCCTAAGTCCTTGGGCTGGGATGAGACTATCTAAGAGCTTCACCGCCTTAGCAATGTATTATTTGTTTCGATGTCTAGGCTTTAGGGAAAAAGTAATACTCCCAATCCTAAGTCCCTGGGCTGGGTTGGTATAGATAATGTGATATAAAATACACAATGTCTATTTTCAAGCATGATCCACAACATCTATGTCAGTAGAACTTCAAGGCCTAAACCTAGTTTCCCAAAGTATTTCCTTTATTTGTCATTGAGAACTACCATGATTTCTCTTAATAGAAATCTTCAATTCTAAATTAGTATAATATTAATAGTGATCATATAAATATTGCTAAAAATAATAATTATAATATTGCAATGAATATTATAATAATTTACAAAATAATTAGAATCATAATTCAATATTTTGGAAGCTGACACTCAAATAAGTAATTCAGGGATTATATATTACAATAACAAAACTATAATCAAAATTTTCTAATACAATAGTTATTTTTATGTGCACATTATGGCAATAATATGAATTATGTATTATTAATATATTTATCTTACTGTTACTAAATATACTTATAATTATATATGGGAAAAGTTTATATAGAGCCGAGGGTCTAAACAATCAAATTGGAGCCTACCACAAAAATTTCGCTAAAAGAGGTTGTTTTGATGCCCAAATATCCTCAAATTGATTATCTTGACATCAAGATGTATGGATATAGAAAAAAATGGATTTCAAAATTTGAAAATAATGTATTTTGTAATGTATTTTTGGAACGTCAAGTTTTAATATTTTCAAGTTTTCATAGATCTGTCGATCTACACTATTTTTGAAGCTTTAAACTTTATAAATAAAGATGAAAATATGTTTTAAGGCTATCATAAAAATTTTCAATATTGAAACCACATTTCTCGACATGATTTAAAAGCAGGCTCTAATTTGATTGTTTAGAGCCTAGGCTCTATACAAACTGTACCTTTTATATATTCTTGATTTTGTTATATAAATAAAGGAGAGATATACTTCTATTTGTCTGATTTTGATTGAGCACAACAGCATGCATCTGGGCTTAGCACCTACCTTTTTCTATTTTGAGATATATCACAGCGCAATCCTTAAATATTTCCATTATTTATGATTTATGAAATTTAAGAAAAAATCTTACTTTACTATCAAAATCAAGAAATGATTCGGTATATAGAAATTCTATGCTTGAGTCCCTCTTTTTTACAAAGTATAATGTATTTTAATTTAATTTAATTTTTTAGACATTGGATGAAGCTTGAGTTTGGGGAATTTGATACTTCTCAGCATCTCACATATGTAAAAAATATCAAAAAAAATTTTAAAATAAATAAAATGACCAAAATAGTTCTAATTTTTAAAATTTTAATTTAATTTGTACTTTTTAATATTTTTACCAGATTGTTACAAGAATAATTACGAATGCCCAAAATTTGAATGTATTATACGGAAAAGAAAAAAATCAAATACAAGATTCACTATAAAAAATAAGACTTCAGTGTAAATATAA